TCCAACCAAGCCATTCTGTGATTCTGTGAAGTCAACATAGAGATTGCGGCTGGGATTTCTGTAAATATACTCACTGGGGCCGGAGTCTTCGGTTTGCCATCATCATCCTCATCAAAACCTTCAATGTCTACGTCAGAGTCTTCCTCCCCCAGTCTACCCTGCCCCTGGCGCATCTGAATGGGGGGACACAAACAGCGAGACAATTGAGAAAGGCATAAACTGGACATAAACCAAAGATTTTCACTCGACATCTGGACCACGACGACGGGTGTAGGAATACAGGAGGAGAAAGACAAAAAGAAAAATACATGTGTGTCACTCTCAGAGCAAGGATCCTTTCTCTCTTTGCTCCAAGACCAGAGAGCACGCAGTCTCCAGATGCTTTTATCCTGACACGCTCATCTTTGAAAAGGGAATCTCCAGACTTACAGCACCAGAGATCTTTGTTTACCCAGCTATTTCTGAAAAGTACTGCTACATCTTAAAAGTGCTCATTGTCACCAAACATTTTAAAAGCACACAGCAGTTTCCAACAAACCTTCTCCTGCTCTTCCCTCAGTCACCATGAGCCCAAGGGAGAGAGGACGTGCAGATACTGTCCCCAAAGACTATAAACTGAAAGTCTATGGAAAGTTGGAAGACTTCTGTATCCAGAAGGCATTCTCAAAGCCACAGCCAGCCACAATGCTAGACAGAACTATTCCGATTCAGTCTCTGGATTGCTCAGACAGCTCTCACTAGTCTTTCTGGCCCCTCAGTTCAAGAAGGACAGGAACTGCTGGAGAGAGTCCAGTGCAGGGCTACAAAGATGATTAAGGGAGTGGAGCATCTCCCTGATGAGGAGCGGCTGAGGGAGCTGGGGCTCTTTAGTTTGCAGAAGAGGAGACTGAGGGGTGACCTCATTCATGGTTATAAATATTTAAAGGGTGAGTGTCACGAGGATGGAGCCAGGCTCTTCTCGGTGCCAAACAATGATAGGACAAGGGGTAACGGACACAAACTGGAACACAGGAGGTTCCACTTCAATTGGAGAAGAAACTTCTTCTCAGTGAGGGTGACAGAGCCCTGGCCCAGGCTGCCCAGAGAGGTTGTGGAGTCTCCTTCTCTGCAGACATTCAAAACCCGCCTGGACGCCTTCCTGTGTAACCTCATCTGGGTGTTCCTGCTCTGGCAGGGGGATTGGACTGGATGAGCTTTGGAGGTCCCTTCCAATCCCTAACGGTCTGGGATTCTGTGATCCTCAGTCTCGTGGCCCTCCTGATCTTCTTCCTCTTCCTGGTAATTTATTCTCACGGTCGTATCTCCTTCTGCTATTCCCTCATCTCCAGCAATTGTTTTTGTTTAGTACAGAAGAAAGACTAAGAAAAAAATACTCTGTGGTTACTGTACCAAGTTCATTTATGATGATTCGCTACCTTTAACCTGTCTGCTTTTTTCTTTGCTTTGAGAAATACGTATGTACAGTGGCAACCATCTCCTCCTAGGTGTCTGTATGGCTTCTATCGTCACTGGATGCAACCATAATGATCTAATTAACATCTTCCAAGTCTGCACAATACACTTCACCATTTCCCTATTCAGAATCAACAAGGGATTGCACATTAGCCCTTCGTAGCGTGAGTCACCAGGTTTCAACTCCCAGAAGTAGTGAAGCAAACAAATATCTGGCCTTAGGCAGATTCTTTGGCAGCTTTTGATTCTCTCCTCTTTGTTCTGCAGAGTCTCAATTCCCAGCGCTCTTTAATTTTTTCCTTTTCCCTCCAGGCAGTCAAAATGAAGGAAATTGCACAACTTTTGAAAGGGATTCCCTTCTGTGCCTGGGAAACCCGCTGAGCTGTGTCGCCTGCTTCCTAGAGAGTAAGTGCCTCTTCTCAGCAATTCGCTTACACAACCCAACTCTCCAACCACAGGAAAAAAGGGAGGATTCTGACCTGAGTTCCTCGCTTCTCTGGGGTAGTGGTGGGAGTGTCCATAGCAGACAAATTGCTCTCATCTTGATAGACTGAAGCATCGTGTGACAAACTGAGGGAAGTGTTGGTATCATACAAATCAGGTGGCTAAAGTATATGCGAAGAAACAGGAGACAACATTCTCAGGCACTGAACTGAGACTGGAACAGTATCTTGAGAGGCAGGAGTGGGGTTTCAGGACTAAATGCAAAATGCTTTTTTGGGGGGGGATGGTGTTTATATTAATAAACATCGTTTAATCAAAGTAAGCTATTTATTCTTCAAGAACAAACACGGTAAAATGCGATGGCTCACAACCTCAGGTTTGAAGTTTGCCAAACAGCACATTTTAAAACAGAAGTCAGTACTTCTACGCAGCACAATCCTACCGAGGCCAAAATCATAAGTGGACTCCAAAAGGATTAGGTAGATTTGTAGAGAATAGGCCTCTCTGCAGCTCCTAAGAGCAATGGTCCAAATGCAACACCAGTTCAATGTGCCTGAAGGGCCAACTGCCAGAAGCAGAGAGGTTTCTCTGTAAGAAGGATCACTGCGTGTTTGCATCCCCTCACTTCTGCTCCCTGCCAGAGACAGAACGCTTGATCACATCAACCTTTGGTTTGACTCAGCACAGCCCTTTTCGTTTCCGTCCCTACAATGGAACTGGTGTTGCAACCACAAGTGCTACTATGAGAATTGGAAAAAGTCTGCCACACACAAAATAGCAAAGCTTCAACTTGCAATCAATTCTACGTAAATCACTGTCTCAAGAGTCCTCAAAGCTGACAAAAGCAAGAAAAAGGAGGTTTGGTTTTGTTCTAAAAGCCAATCCGTAATGTGCAGGCCATTTGACCTCTGAAGAGTTAATGAGGAACTACAGACAGGATTTTGATAAAATGCCACTGTAACACACAGTTTATAGATCATTACAGTCCTGGAAGTATTAAGAGCAGCAGCAGTACTGTTAAAATTAAGCAAAACAGGCTTCCTAAGAATGTAAAGACACACACAAACCACAGACACCTCTCTACTTGCTGTATTTGCTTTTTATATCCTGGAGTCCAACTCCTGAAGACACAAAATGAGGAGATAAATATTACTCATCACAACTGCATCTGACACAAAGGGAACTATGACCTATTAGAGAGCAGCGCAGGGGAAAGGGACCTGGGGGTCCTGGTGGCCAGCAGGATGACCATGAGCCAGCACTGTGCCCTTGTGGCCAAGAAGGCCAATGCCATCCTGGGGTGTATCAGGAGGGGGGTGGTTGTAGGGCAGAGAGGTTCTCCTCCCCCTCTGCTCTGCCCTGGTGAGACCACATCTGGAATATTGTGTCCAGTTCTGGGCCCTCAGTTCAAGAAGGACAGGAACTGCTGGAGAGAGTCCAGCGTAGGGCTACAAAGATGATCAAGGGACTGGAGCATCTCCCTTATGAGGAGCGGCTGAGGGAGCTGGGGCTCTTTAGTTTGCAGAAGAGGAGACTGAGGGGCGCACTCATTCATGTTTATAAATATTTAAAGGGGGAGTGTCACGAGGATGGAGCCAGGCTCTTCTCGGTGACAAACAATGATAAGACAAGGGGTAACGGACACAAACTGGAACACAGGAGGTTCCACTTCAATTGGAGAAGAAACTTCTTCTCAGTGAGGGTGACAGAGCCCTGGCCCAGGCTGCCCAGAGAGGTTGTGGAGTCTCCTTCTCTGCAGACATTCAAAACCCGCCTGGACGCCTTCCTGTGTAACCTCATCTGGGTGTTCCTGCTCCGGCAGGGGGATTGGACTGGATGAGCTTTGGAGGTCCCTTCCAATCCCTGACGGTCTGGGATTCTGTGATTCTATGAACTAAAGCCAAGCAACCATTACCACACCTCCCATCTGTGACACGTTTGGGAGGCTGGGAATGGGAGTGCACCTCCGCCAAGAAGCAGAGGGAAAGGATGGCCTTCGGATTCATGGAAGAAGCTCAGGAAGCTCTCTCCTTTGGCAAGCACAGAGGAGGAGCAGACAACAGGAGCTGACAGCAGGAGCTGACAACAGTTCACTGCTCAGGCCCCTTTGCCTCTCCCTGATCACCAGCTTGGAAAAAAATCAGAACAGGTAATACTGCTCCTGAGAAGAAATCATCAGACAGCGAGAAGAAGGACACTTCTGTCCCTTATTCTGTGAGGTGTTGGGATCATCCCTGGTTCCCTCTGATCTTCCTAGAAACACATCAGCAGACAGTTTCAACAAAAAGCTCCAAAGGCTCTTGCAGCCTGACTCTTCCCACTGCCAAAGTCGTCTTTTTCCATGATACTCTGCTTCAGTATTCCCACCCCGCTGAATTCAACCATCATTCCTAGCAAGTCCTTTCTAACTTCCCAAAATGCTACATTTTGGTGGGTTTGGGGGTTTTTGGGGGGAGAGATGGATGGAGGGTGTTAAATATTGCCTCAAAACTGTGGCATGCTATCTTGGCTCCAGCCATATCATCTTTGTAAACTTGCTGCCTAAATAAATTTTACTCATTTTTTTCTTTAAATTAATCTTTCTAAGATCTTAAATTGTTCTTGAACTTCGAGTGCCCTGTTTTCTGCTCTGACTTGACTAAAATTTAAGGCAGCTTTCCAGATGTAATCACAGCAGGCTTGCACAGAACAGAAAAACTATTGGTCTACAACTGGGATGAACAACTGCAAAGAAAGCTTTGCTCTGCCTGCCTACACTGGGCGTACAACATTTGAATTTTGATCCTTCAGTTATTAGTAGAGAGATCTTTCCCAAGGTTTATGAACTTCAGTAGTTTTTTCAAGTCATCAAAAAGCACATCTCAGACACTAGGATGACATTCTGTGATCCATTACCTATTTCACCAGGCAAATGCCAAAGGCAATTTTATCTTCCAGGAATGAACTTGTCATTCCTAGTGAAAGGTTGTTTTTTTTTTTACTGCTGTTTTTAAAAATAACCCAACAGCCTGAGGCTAAAAGTAGGCTTTAAAAAATAAAGAGAGTCTAAATAGCTTATAAAACATTGCCAGACTGTGACCACTGAAAAAGAAGTCTGCCAGACAATCTCCAGTATTAGTAGTTGGTCTGTAATACATCCAACATAACTGACACACACACTGTCTGCTATAAAATAATAGTGAAGAGTAAAAAAAAAGTCATTTCCATTAGAATAAAATTAAAGAAATGTAAAGAATCCCACCAAAGGAGTCGTAGTTCGCTGACTACATTGGGCAGTTTTCTTTGCTCATAGCAATAAACCTCTTCAACACCCCCCCCACCAAACAGCTCTCTGGCTTCTTCTCAGCACTGCAGTATTGCTATTTTTCCTCGTGTTCTCCTTACCTGTTCACTGCTTGCCTTCTGAGGGTTTCTAACTGCTACACCTGCAGAGTCTTTGAACATCCAACCAACATTCAGTTGAACCTGACTGTACATAGCTCATCTTGAGACCAGTTTTGTAAAGCTGCTTGGGAAATTACCTTCTTTGTCTTAGGTATCCCACTCACTGAAGCATCATAACCACTATTTATCCTTAAAAAATAGCTGTTAGCACACCACCCAACAAGATACTCAACTGCAAGACAAACTGCAGACAGATAAAGAACAGTAAACAAAGAGGCACCTCTAGATCAAACATCCAGGACATTGAAACTAAGAGAAAGGAAGTGCAAATGTTGCTTGGTCACTTGCCTGTGGAGTATAGGGACCAGGAGTCATAGGATCAAGGCTTTCCAGATCTGCCTCCTCTAGTGCTGCTTCCTTAGCTGTAGAGATGTCTCTCTCAAGTTGAGTCAGGTGCTCATCATACTAAGAACAGAGAAGCTTGCTAAGGTTGCAGAACATAAAATGCAAACCACAAAAATATTCCAGTAGAGTCGTCCACATACCTCAGCTAGAGTTTGATAACAGATGTTTACAATCTCCTGGGCTGTTTTTGTGTACTGACTGTCTGGCCCTGTCGTAAGAAACAAATCTCTTTGAGCATTCTGACATTTGTTCAATTCCAGCTGCTGAGACAGCAAGACTGCTTTTGGTTACACAGCTCTCGTGACATCGGTCCCTAAACCTCAGCACCTTCGGATACAAGGAGAAATATAAAGCTGGGTTCCCATTCAGCTGATAAAGTGCAACCAGTTTGTTCCAGCATTAAACGTATTATTTAGGAGGGGGGAGGGTTGTACCCTGGCAATCTCGGAAACAAATCACTGAAGCAGAGATGAGTACTGAACAAGTAGAAAAATCTTCCCCAAATGTGCCCAATTCTGCACAAGATGGTAAATAAAGCACCACCTGGCAGTGAAAATGCCACTGTTTAAACATCTCTGTTCTCAGCAGGAAAACAAAGCTCAGGATTCACGGCTTCAGGCTTTGACAGCACTATAGAACAGGTGCCCAGATGTAATCATGTGAGCACAGAAGGAGCTGAAGCCTTATTTTCACCACCTACCGTTGTACTTAATGCTGTTGGCAAGGATGAGGTTAACGTCACCCAGGAAAGTCTCTCTGTTCTGGTACTTGTGTTTGGAGATGTTCTGGAAGAGATTGTCACCCAGTAAGTAACCGAGTCTAAACGTCTTTTCAGTGGCTGCTAGTTTCAAGCTACACACCTTGCGGATACTCTCCAGATCCATTGGATTAGCAATCACCTTGTAATAATCAGGAACAAACTTTTTGTTTACTGGATGGTGGAACGGCCAAGACTGAAGGAAAGAAAATAGACAAGCTCAGAAAACTTCCGTGCAGAATTTTTGTACAGCTTGAACTACAGCTTTCATAAAGCAAGTATTTAAAACTGATTAACACTCAAAACATATGGGAAATATTTATCACAAGGCATCTTGAACCCAATCATTTAGCTTCAGGAACAACACAGACAAAAGATCTACCAGTTGGATTTTGAAGTAGGCCTGCCGGTACCTGTTTGACTTTCCTATTTAGTATCACTGTTTCCTCCACAACGTAACTGCAGAGTCCAGCAAGAACACTCATTGCTTATACAATAAACAGAAGAATACAAACCTAGTTCTGACTCACAGTAGGGCCCTCTATAGCAATTTAACAGTTCATCATAACTTCTTTTCCCCCCAGTGCACCAACAGCCACAGTGTAAACCCACAGCCACGGGAGTGTCACCAGCACATCTGGCACACTGCGCACACACAATCTGCTCAAGCTACGCACATCTGGAACTGCCATCATCTTTTGAGTGACAATGTTATCCAAAATGAAGGAAAAGGCCACTTGATCATCATCATCCAGGAGGGGATTGATTGCTTTTTCTAATCGAGCCAGTTTATCTTCCTTCTGCAATAAAAGTACAGAGCATCAGTGGCTGACCCTAGGTTAGTAACTGTTAATGTCAGCATTCTCTGTCCCAAAGAGATTCCCATTCACCTTTGTATGAAGACCCTTGTAAATAATGGGGGATAACAGCCTAGATAGAAGCCTACATACAAGATGAAGTAGCTACAGCAACAAACAAGTATCTGTTTTTTGAGAAAGACTCCAATGCGAACTGTTTAAAATTGTAAAAACTCAAATACACCCCAGGGTGGAGGAATTCCCTTACTCTTCTACTCTTCTTGAAGTGCTGTGCTTTGCCTATTCACGTCCTCTATCCTCCCCCCGACCATCCCTCCCTCTCCCCTCTGATTACACCTCATTCGCAAGACTTGCCTCTTTTAGCTTTTCATCACACAGGTCCAGCATGGACTGAGATATCTGTGTCAGCGAGTGCTTCGGCCCTGCCAACACACAGCAAGTACAGTCAGACACCCCAGCCTGATTAAGAAGGCAAATTACGTCATAATACAAATTAATCTTTACTCCTAAAGCATCACTGATTATATTTCTAGCACAGCTGGGAGTATACACCCAAGGGTATTCTCAATATACACAATTAACTAAAGTTTAATATGGATTTTATATGATAAAAGACTATTTGTACCAAATAGTCACACTTGTGGTACACCTTCTGTTAAGGTTTGGAAATGCTGTGCGAAAGCAGCTGTGCCTGTGGGAGCCTGGCCTCTAAGCCAGACCTTTGCCAAACTTTCAGCATATAAATCATTTCTGTTTCCTTCACTAAATCCAGGCAGTGAAGCAGAACTGCTGAGGAAAGCAAGGCATTCGAGGAATATTCAGAAAACCACAGCTTTAAATAATTTCACAATTCCTCAGACATGGAAAAAAGTATTTGCAACACAACTATGACCAAAATCTCATTCTTTAGGATAAACCGGGGACCAAGCCATCGAAGTAAGAAGTGAAGCAGTAAAGGCACAAAACCAGCGCTGTCAGTGTCACCCCAAATGCTGCACAGCCCAGACTCAATGCGGCTGGAAGGTTTGATTACCTGTCAAATAAATACTTTTTGGACAAAGACCTTTTCATCAGCGGCCAGAATACAGCTGACCTACAGCTGCTGCATTAATGGGCACTTTTCCCCAGCAGATGCAGGCTCTGCTGCAGAATCTATGCTGTTTGGTTTTTTTAAACTAGCGTTCTGACCTTTCTGAATGGGGAAAAATTTACTGCAACTAAGCAGCAAGATATGCAAAATCTTTACAGTGGACTTTACTCAAAGCTGCGTGCTCCAAGGCAACGATGACAAAAGGTTTTGTCCTTCAATACAAAGTGTCAAAGAGTAAGTATCTTGCAGCTCCTTTTCTCAGAAAGACCACGTTCCAGAGCTACAAACTATTACACACTACACATCATTGCTATGCTTTTGCATTCCCGTAGCTGAGTTGATGTTATTTTATAAAGGAGTTTACACAGATTTGTGAAGTTAGCTCCTTCAGACTAGATCACTGTCAGCGAGTATGTTGTAATTAACACCATTCTGTTATACTGAAGACATGGTATTTTTCCTTCAGCATCACAGAAACAAAGACTGAGCTATGTTATCTTACAGGAAAGGGTGGGTCTCCCAGCTTTACAGCTGACTCAGAGCTGTACTGAAAGTGTGGAGAAACCACATCCACACAGAGTGGACTGTGCTCCGGTGCTCACTAAGCTACATCCTTCATGAATGCCACATTATCTTAAGTAAAAGACGCTTTCCAACCAGTAACAGTGGTACAGAAGTGTTTGTGCTGAAAGATTCATTCACTGAAGCACAACACTGAGAAAGTAAGTTCACAAGTACATCCTGACTGATCCATGTCTGAAAGCAAAAAGGAAGGATGCTCATATTGTAGTCTGCTGAGAACACTGTTTTGCTTGGCTTCATCCTATACGAAGGGGATACGCAGGACTTTGCTTCAGTGCAGTTTGACTTAATAGATGCACCAATGCCTTCAGTCATTGATAGCTCCATAATTGAACTGCAGTTCACAGAACCACAGAATCGCTCGGTTGGAA